TAGAGATAGAGAGAGAGACAGATACAAGGAGATAGAGCTAAAGAGCTAGAGATAAGCTATATCTACAATACATTTAGATAAATACAAATATAAATCTAATCTAATATATACATTAACAGAAAAAATGTGTGATTCTCTCTACACTTACATTTTGCATTGCAAGTGTATGATAAAATGCCTCAATGAAATGCTTTGTGAATGGAGCACCTCAATGAAAAGCCCCACTATTTCATAAATGTGATGTTTGCATGAAGTGTTTTTGCCAATTAAGCTGATTAATTGTGCAATTTAAAATGTGAATGAAAGGAAAGAAAATCTCAGACAAGCATTTAAGAGTATATTGAAAAAAAGGATTCAAGAGTAGTTCACCAATTTGATTTTTGGTTTGTGGACTGGACCACTAAAGTCAAGTCCTGAGTCATCTATACTGTTACAGAATCACACAAATGGGTGTTGATGTTGTATATATATATTTACAAGTGTCACTCCAGGTTTAATAAGCACACGCAAGATCATATTTCTAATATTAGTTTATTGACTAGAAGTGTATAACCATACAAACAAGTCTATTTTGAAGAACTTCTTATCAAACAAAAGTAGAAAGTGAAATAAAAAAGAATCGGTGTTTTGGAGGTGTGAAGTTCCAAGATTCAGGGAGCAGTAGGCTAAAAGAGAACTAATATTCTTCTTTTAACTTCATAAATTTTTCCCAAATGCTGTGTTAATTTACAGTTCACTTTTTTCTTAGATATATATACCAACCAAACTGCTAAGGGTGTGTTTGGTAACGTTTACGTTTTCAGTTTATATTTACAAAAATTTTATAAACTGGTTTTTGTTTATTTTTAAAAAAAACATAAACTACAAACATGTTTGGTAATTGACAAAATATTTAAAAAAAATTTAAAATATAAAAAAGAGTGAGAAATGACAAGTGGTGGCAAGTGGCGGCGGAAGACGGTGGTGGAAAGTGGTGACGGTGGGTAAAAAAGAATCGGTGTTTTGGAGGTGTGAAGTTCCAAGATTCAGGGAGCAGTAGGCTAAAAGAGAACTAATATTCTTCTTTTAACTTCATAAAATTTTCCCAAATGCTGTGTTAATTTACAGTTCACTTTTTTCTTAGATATATATACCAACCAAACTGCTAATAGTTATGCATATATATTTTCACCCCTCTTAGTCCCTCATTCTCGTCTGTGAGTTGCTGATGCAAGAGGAGTAGAGAGTTTGACACTTAAAGAGAGAGAGAGAGAGAGAGAGAGAGAGGAAGTAGAACTTGAAAACTAGTCTCAAGGTAAATTACACACCCCTCTTCTCTTCTCCAATCCTGCTTACTCTTCTTAATCTACCTCCTAGCATGTCTAGTGTATGTATGAAATGTTGGTATGCTTGGAAATGGGGTGTAAGTTTAGGTGTTAGTATGAATAAGTGATGCTACCTTTTATTTTCTGCTGATTTCATGACTGCTGGAACTTTGTCATTCTTGGAAAAATATCAAACTTACTTCTTTTTCAAAACTAAATGTACGGGATGATCTTTGAGGTGTTTAGAGCATGTGACATTTTTTGTGGCCCCTAATTAGACGTTTTTATAGTCTAAACAATTTTCTTAAACAATCTAGCCTTGTGTTTCGAGAAAACAATCCACTTCGTGTATTTTGAAAAAACAATTCTAGAAAAATCATCTTAGGTTGGTTCTTATGTCAAAAGTTATCATTTTTTGTCCTCTTTCCAACAAAATTTATTTGAACAAAAGTTATTGGGTAGATTGAGAGAAATGTTCATTTTCCTAAAAGTGTGTCAAATTTGGACAGAATATGGTGTATGGCCTATAGATAAAAATTCTGGTTAGGTTATGTGAATTGTAAAATTGGGAATGAAAGTAAACTTATTATTCTATGTTTCTATTAATTTTCAGAACCTAAAAAGGTCCAAAAGTATTTTTAGCGACCCAGTCCATTAGCTCCTACTAATCTAAAATCTGCTGAAAATGTGTTATTTTTTGTGTCAAGTGTTCCTGAGTGCTCAAAAGCATGCCAAATGTGGTTTACTTGCCTTACCATGCTTGTATGTATTAATTTGTTATATTTCATCCCATATACTTGCCTTACATTCATGTATATTATCACAGTTATATGTTGGTTTTGATGTTGAAACACTGGGTGAGCAAAATGGCATCTTGATATCTGAGGTTTTAATTTTTATTTGTATTTATTATTATTGTTGTCACGCAGAGTTTTGGTGTTGTTCTAGAGATAATAGAGGTCTTGAAGCTAAACAAATAAAATAGAAGTCTTCTAGGAATCCACATTTTGATACTTGTGTTTTGGAATGAAAAACTTTCCCTCGAGAACACTAATTTTTTATTTTTTGTTTTGAACAGCCAAGAACATTAAACTTGGAAACCTAGATTTTTTTTTCTTATTAGGTTTCTTTTATAAGACATAACATCAAATAATGTCAGGAATAACATCCGCTTGACAAATTAGAATGAATGTTTTTTTTTATTTATTTTTTATTTATAACATAACTATCTATTCTAATGTTGCCAGAAAAGAATAAATAAGAATCTAAAATGTTTGATTGGTTCTCTCTTCTATTGATTCTTTTTAGGTGTTTAGATCTTCTGTTCTCAGATATCATTAAATTTGGCCATGATGTAGCTGTGTTATGGCCTGACATGTAGGACTGTTGCATTTGATGCTGTTGTCTGTATTGCTAGAACTGTAAATCATGCTGGAGTTGTGCAGTTGGTTGCTGCTGCTGTAGCTGGTGCAACTGGTTGGTAATATTTTATTTTATTTTTTATTTATAACATAACTATCTATTCTAATGTTGCCAGAAAAGAATAAATAAGAATCTAAAATGTTTGATTGGTTCTCTCTTCTATTGATTCTTTTTAGGTGTTTAGATCTTCTGTTCTCAGATATCATTAAATTTGGCCATGATGTAGCTGTGTTATGGCCTGACATGTAGGACTGTTGCATTTGATGCTGTTGTCTGCATTGCTAGAACTGTAAATCATGCTGGAGTTGTGCAGTTGGTTGCTGCTGCTGTAGCTGGTGCAACTGGTTGCTAATATTTTTTTTTGTGTACAGAGGACATGTTTTGTATGGAATTATTATTTTAGGTTGGAATATATTTAGTCTGTATGAAATTTGACATTAAAAGTGATTCCTTTTTGGATGGTTGGAAGTGAAATGGATGAAAATTGTGAAATGATTGATAATATATGTATTGTTTTATTTATATACAAGGTATACGTTGCAGGGAATACATACAGGTTGTGTACAAAATAATTAAAAATAAAATCATGTTTTTGGCGACTAAACAATTGGTAGCCAAAAAAGAAGTAAATATTTTTAGCGACTAAATAGTTAGTAGCTAAAAATAAAAATAAAATGAAAAAAACTTTTTGGCTACTAAATATTTAGTAGCCAGACAAAAATCCGACTTTAGGCGACAAAGACTATAGTAGCTAAAAAAAATAAAATGAAAAAAAAAACTTTAGTAGCCAAAAACAAAATAAACTTTGGACAACTAAAATATTTAGTAGCTAAAAAAAATAAGATGAACAACAAAAAAATTTGGTGACAAACTTTAGTAGCCGTAAATAATTTTAGTTTTTGGCAACAAAATTTTTTAGTCGCTGAAAATGCGATATTAATTTTTTTTGAAAGGTTTTGGCGACTAAAAAATTAGTCGGCAATTGATGACTTTCGGCGACCAAATTCTTTTTAGTCGCCAAAACCTTTCCCAACAACTGTTCAATGACTAATCTTGCGACCAAAAATTTTAATCGCTAAAAAGTTTTAGCGACTAAAAATTGACTTTTGGCGATTAAAAATTTAGTCGCCAAAAGTGACATTTGTTGTAGTGATAATTGGGATGTGCCTCTCAAGCAATGGTGCAATTTTCCTCGATTGCAAACTTCATTGATGTATTATTGTACTTCTTGTGCTATTTCATCAATGTAATTCCTTTTTTGTCGATAAAAAAAAAAGAGTAAAATTAATGAAAAGTCCTTCATTTAAAGGTTGTTTAAGGTGCAGGACATAAATAAGATTTTTTAATGTGAGAAATCCCTCAAGTCAATTAGTTAGGCATATGAGCACTACAAGAATTTACATATTTGCCGACCACTTTTGCCGACCAAAAAAATTTTGGTCGCAAAAAAATGACATTTGCCGACCAAAAATTATTTTGTAGCTAAAAGTTGATATTATTACCGACTAAAGTAATTTTGTTGCAAAAAGGTGATTTTTTGCGACCAACTTAAAATATTGGTCGCTAAAAATGATGTCAGGAGGTGAAAGATTGGGCGGGAACAGTAAAATCTTTTAGCGACTAACACAATTTAGTCGCAGATATCAAAACGACGTCGTTTTGATACCTAAATGCACTGGTGGACCATGGCCGACCAAATTTTGGTCGTTATATGTTAAGATTCTGCGACAAAAAACAAATTTAGTCGCTAAAGATGAAATGTTTTTTTCGTGGGATATTTATCACCGCCCCTGTTCCTGTTTACAACCATTTGTTCAAACCTCTCACACAGATTCTCCTTCACCACCAAGCCTCACCTCACCACAGACCACCACCACCAGCACAGATCGCCACGACCACTGCCGCAGATGAGCACTGCCATCGATGATCCTCCTCCGTCCTCCTCTGGTGCCTCTCTCTCTCTCTCCTAAACACCCACCGCCGTCGATGATCCTCCTCCTTCTCCTCCTCCTCCTCCTCCTCTACTGGTGCCTCTGCCAGATCCGAGAAGATCGTCGAAATCTAAATTAGATTTGAATCCTAGGCCGAGATCTAACCGTCGTGAGCGATCCACAGTAACGCAATGGCTTCCAAATCCTACGACAAGATCGCCGATATCTGCGATGACCTCATCCTCCAGGCACATACACTACCCATCCTTCTATTCTATTATTGATCTCTCTTCTTATCAAACCCTAATTTACTCTCTCTCTCTTTCTCTCTCTCTCTCTCTCGCTCTAGGTTTCAACGCAGGGGATTACATTCCAGGACGAATGGCCCTACTCGATTCATCTTCTAGGCCACATCTACATCGACGACATGTGAGTTGATTTTGTATGACTGTGTTGTTCAGTGTCATTGATTTGGGATTTTACGATGGTTTTAGGGTTTATGTATATATATATATGCTTTGTATTGCAGCAGAGAAGTCTACTGGGATTAACTACGGTTGCAAATCGATCCCAAAGAAGAAGCTCATCTGCAAATCAATCCCAAAGAAGAAGTTCATCAATCATACTGGAATCCAGGTCTTTATTTTCTAAATTCGTTTCAGAAATTGATTTAAGTTTGTGAAATTTGGGTTGATTTTTTCTTGACTGAAATTTGGGTTTGATTTGTTCTAAATTTATTCTGAAATTTGGGGATTTTGTGATTTGTTCTTGAAAGCTGCCCGTTGAAGCTCTTGGGAAATTTGGAAAATTTGGGTTTCATCATTCAGCTTGAAAGCTGCCCGTCGAAGCTCTGGTCCTTAAACTTTAATTGGTGTTTTATGTCGATCTTGCTTATTTAACATTTGTTTGGTTGCCGAGAAACAGAGCAAAGGGATAGTGATTGCATCTATTAGTGTTTTTTTACAAAAATGGAAAGCTCTCTGCTCTCATCTTCTCCTATCTTGATTTTATTTATTTGTTTATTTTATTTCAAAATACACTCTCACTAACCAAAAACAAGTTTTCTTTTTATTTCAAAAATGATGTCAGGAGATTCTGCCAAGCTACTGGATATGGGGGTACTGTTCAGCGCCGTGAGGTGAGACTCAATCTCATGATTTTTTGTCCAGAACTTTTTTTTTTTTTTATCCCTCATAGATGGTATTTGAAGTCCTTAGTATGTTTTAGAGTGTTGAAGAAAAGATTGCTCGCCATGCTCAAGACGAAACACGTACCACCAGGTAGCAACTCTTCGTTGTTGATATTATCAATTAGTACAATGGTCAAAACCTTTTTCCATTTGTGATAAGAAGTAAAGCTTATAAGGTGGAATTATATGTTTTGCATTTTTGCAATTTTTTTTTTTTGCAGAGATTGATTTGTTTATATATATATACGTATATATTTATGCTATTAATTAAAAGTTGCAAGAGAGGATAAGTTTGACAGAGACTAGAGCGGGAGAAAAAAGCTACAATTTTTCTTTTGTTATTAAACGATATCAATGAAGTTTTACAACAACACTGATCAAGTTCTATAGTACAAAAGAACCGATACATTGATTAGATGAACCCCCATATTTGCTTCCATTTGTAACATAGCATAGTTTCATTCTTCCTGACACTTCATTTAAATCAAGAAATTAGAGTGAAGAAACTAATTTTAGGACTACGCATATTTATTGTACTTCTTAATTGTTAATTGAAGTCCCTACTTGACCATCCGGTACATTTTCTGAGAAGATCTTGATCTAAAATTTCGAGATCTATAAATTTGTCCCATTTGCATGCTTTGTTACAAGTTCACAATCCCTTGTTTTAGGGAGATTGTGGTGTAGTTCAATGCTGATGTGGTTGATGGAATGCAATGGAACCTATTGGTTATGTGCCGGTGTTGGTGGATGAGGACATTGTGCTTTCTGACTCTTTTGCAATCTTAATGGTGAGTGGTTGGACCTTTATTGTCTTCACCCCATTGGATTGATTTTATTAAAAATTTTCAATGTTTCTAACATGTGCTTAGTAATTTGCAGTATTTGGAAGAGAAGTATCCTCAACATCCATTGTTGCCTCGTGATCTTCAAAGAAGAGGCATTAACTACCAGCTATAATGCATGTAATCTCTTATTTTCTTGATCAATTGATATGAGTTGTTTATTATTTACAACAACATTTTTTAGCTCTTTTCCATTCACCAGTATGATATTTATTTGATTCAATGTGTTTGAGCCTAAGCATCCATGTGAGGCTCTGGAAAGGCTAGAATTTCATTGCTTGCATAATTTTTATGTTGTCATATTTTCTATGAGTTCACACTAAAATTAGCACACTTTATTTAAACCAAATATAGTTACAACTAATATTAGCAAACTTTATTCAAACCGAATATAGTAACAAATCAATTTTTATGAGGAATAAGCTACAAAATTCAGGCCTGGTGAAGAAACGCTAGTTGGCTTAAAATTCATTATGTGACAACAGAGTTAACATTATATTGTTATGGAGTTGTACTATATGCATCTTATTACTCTCACAGTTGAAGGTGTTAAACCAGGAAAATTTAATTAAAATATCCTACAAATGTTGGGTTGCTATCATAATTGATAAAGGTCTTGTCAATTATATGGAGGTGATTACTATCTTGGTATTGGTCAATGACATGCCTAAAGAGTCATATACACATCATAAGCTCAAATGTTCTCTTCACAAGCCCACTCATTTTTTAGCAAATTTGGTTGAATTGGGCTAACCAGCATGTACGCATGTTAGTTGCTTCAAATGCTAATAACCTCTCTTTATATATATCATAATAAGGGTAGAAATCTCTTCTTTCGACAGAATCCGACACCTCATGCATGGGTGTGGTTGCCTCCACGGACACTATGAGAAGTTATTGGCCAAATCACAAGGATATTTCTCATGGATATTCCTCATACCAAGTTCGCATGTATTGTTTTGAATGGGTTACCCATTGTTGTCAAATTGCGAATCAAATCATGAATTGTACGATTCTAACAACCATACCAATATAACTATCGTCAAAGTTAAACTTTCAAACGACTTGATTATATTCATGTGAGGAGTACAATGAGATCAAATGGTTCTCAATCACAAAATAATGAACACAGGAATTCTTTGGACTGCTTGGCAACACAAAATCGGTGATCTAAGCTTAGTGGTATCTGTTTGACCTCTCATCTTTGATGTTCGGTGCTCAAATCCACTTGTTGGTATATATGTGATCTTTTGTGATCACCTTCAGTGGTATTTTCATTTCTTAGATAGGATAAGGATCTTATTGAAAGATAAGGGAATTCTTGGGAGGATGGAGTATAGGTTATAGCAATGCCACTGAAAGTCTGAAAATGGACCTTAGTGGGTCCAACACGTACATGCAACTGTCATTTTACATGGAAAATGATATCATTAGAACACCCTTGCTCTAGTTGAAGTGCTTTATCCGGCTTTAAGGGAATAACATGTTAAAGTAATAAAACTTTAGGTTAGCAGAACTATTCATTCATTCCTTCTACTTTCTCAATTTTTTTGTTTTTTTTTTTCATCCTGTTCTGTTCTGATTACTTAAACTAATCCTCGATGTATTTATTATTTGATTTATAGGCTGCAAATATTGTTTCCTCAAGCATATAGCCGATTCAGAATATAGGTGTACTGGTGAGTATTGGAGTGAGATCACTGCTTTAAAATTTCTGTTTCATTGCTAAAATTCATATAATGCTATCACAACATTTTTTTTTAGCATAGTGATGGGTATTTCCCTGCTTTTTAATGTACAGAAGTATATTGGGGAAAAAGTTCATCCTGATGAGAAGCTTGTTTGGGTTCAGTATCATATTGGCAAAGGCTTTGCAGGTAAGCTTTACCTAATGAACTACAGATTATGGATTTTTATTTTATTTTTTCATTTAAAGAAATCTGTCATACCAGTTTGAATACACAAGTTGGTTGTGTGTAGCCTGCTAGTGCTGACTACTTGACGTTTCACCTTCTTAACCTGTTGCCTCCAATCATCCAAGCAATACTTTGTTTCCTTGTTCCTATCAAAGAGCAAGCGTGTGCAACCCATGGACATCACGGTTTGATCCAAACTCCTTTATGATAATTTTGTTTTAATAATGTATTTTAATTGTTTTGCTAGTATCAAGCAAATAATAGCTGGATCATTGTTAAGAAGAAGACTTTATGAAGTGACTGGAACCTTTTTCCTCATGCCAATTACTTAATTAATTTATTAGTAATTGATGTTAGCTTACTTTTAAAACATGTCTTGTGTTAGGATCATCAAATAAATACATAAAAAGTAGAAGACATGATCTTGTTATATATTCAAATCTTCACTTTGTCCTCTACCAAAAACCCTATAATCTAATAAGCATGGACACGGACACACCGATACAACAGTTTTCCAAAAAAATGCAGGACATTACATGGGGACATGAGTAAAATATAATTTTTTTATATTTATCATATGTTATATATATAAATATTTCAGTCAAAGTTAATAAAAATACACAACATAACACACATTTCCTCAAATGAGAATGGATTAGTGGGGATAAATTTACATTTTTTTTTTATTTATAATTATTAGTTCCTAATTTATTTTGTTCAAATTTGTAATGTTATGTGTCCCTCAAATTTCCAAAGTGTGTCTGAGTTTAAATTTTAGTTGATAATAATAATCATCATAATAATTATAACTGGACGTGTTTGACACGTATCAGAAGTGTCTAAAGACGAGTGTTGGAGTCCAACAAATGAAAATGGGCATGTCATTAATATACCTTGTTTTAGTATGCCTTATATTGAAAAGATGGAACTTTTTTAATACAACCTATGGTTCAGTCCAATGGAAACATGTTCTATCCTTTTTTCTTTTTTCTTTTTTTCAAGCCAGACAACTTATGTGCAATGCAAGTTAAATTTGAGGCAACTTTATATTTTATGCCATGAGGATCTACAAACCATTCAAATGATCTTAGTATTGTATCAAATATAGGACTTTGCACAGAAGTTCTGGTGCTTTAAAAGGATTAATCAACACATTCAATAAGAATGCATCAATTTATCTGATTGAACATACATAATTAGGATTACCATATTCAATAGGTAATCATCTCCATGAATGTGGGGAGTGGATTGAAAGTGCATCATGGCTTCCTATTGGTTTAAGTTTCAATTACCATGAAGTTAGGTGAGAATTTGATCTTGTACTAAGCATTAGGAAAAAAATCACTGCTGATTTAAATTCATCATCGATAGGAGTTTCTTTTTGTAGAATTCCTCTGAAAAAATCCTAACCTATTTTAACTTTTAAGTTGGGAAATTTTCCATTAGAGTTTGGTAATTTCTGGGCAAACAGTGACCAAAAATCAAGTTTGCTATGATATGATTAAGGTTGCTTTGAAAATTGAGTGTTGAATTTGAGCTGATTTCTATGTACACACATTGCAGCTCTTGAGAAGCTATTAAAAGATTATGCTGGGAAATATGCCACTGGAGATGAAGTCTGTCTGGTTTGTTTCTTCCCTCCCTGCTCTCTGTGTTCAAAGCCTATATGCGTACTGTATGTTTAGGGGGGATCCGTTGCAGAGTGTGAATATCTAAGCCCTAATGAAATTTTAAAATATGAGACCACGCTGGCTGTGTAACCTGAATAGATAGTTTTTTTTTATACCAAACACACGTTATTTCGAAACAAATTTCCCAAACTTGAGCCGTTGTGAAATTATATACCAAACCAAG